AGGTTGCATATGCCTACGGCTGTTGGTTCACTTATTATATCAGGTTGCATATGCCTACGGGTGTTGGTTCACTTATTATATCAGGCTGCATATGTCTACGGGTGTTGGTTCACTTATTATATCAGGTTGCATATGCCTACGGGCGTTGGTTCACTTATTATATCAGGTTGCATATGCCTACGGGTGTTGGTTCACTTATTATATCAGGCTGCATATGTCTACGGGTGTTGGTTCACTTATTATATCAGGTTGCATATGCCTACGGGTGTTGGTTCACTTATTATATCAGGCTGCATATGTCTACGGGTGTTGGTTCACTTATTATATCAGGTTGCATATGCCTACGGCTGTTGGTTCACTTATTATATCAGGCTGCATATGTCTACGGGTGTTGGTTCACTTATTATATCAGGTTGCATATGCCTACAGATGTTGGTTCACTTATTATATCAGGTTGCATATGCATACGGGTTTAGGTTCACTTATTATATCAGGTTGCATATGTCTACGAGTGTTGGTTCACTTATTATATCAGGTTGCAAATGCATATGGGTGTTGGTTCACTTATTATATCAGGCTGCATATGTCTACGGGTGTTGGTTCACTTATTATATCAGGTTGCATATGCCTACGGCTGTTGGTTCACTTATTATATCAGGCTGCATATGTCTACGGGTGTTGGTTCACTTATTATATCAGGTTGCATATGCCTACAGATGTTGGTTCACTTATTATATCAGGTTGCATATGCATACGGGTTTAGGTTCACTTATTATATCAGGTTGCATATGTCTACGGGTGTTGGTTCACTTATTATATCAGGTTGCAAATGCATATGGGTGTTGGTTCACTTATTATATCAGGTTGCATATGTCTACGGGTGTTGGTTCACTTATTATATCAGGTTGCCTACGGTCCAATGTTCACAGCTGTGTCATAAGTTAACATTATTTTTTAACAAATAGTTTCCCCTCCCTCTGACAAATCTAATCGCCCTCATGACCAAGTATAACTATACTGCTGGTCATATACTCTACCCACTTACACTACACAACAGCGACCCAAGTTTCATAACAAAAGAAACAGTGTTGTAATACCACGGCAGGTGGAGATGTACTATTTAACGTTACATTTTCTTAAAGTCCCCTCTAAAACTGTACATACAATCTCTAGCTCCTCATAATTGGGCTTATGGCAGTACACATATGTGATATTTACTTCCGTTCTTTACCGCGTGTGTATGTGATGTTCATCGATCTAATCAGCCAGTGTATGTGACATATTGATCCGCAAACAGCGCCACACGCGGTAAATCGTGGGCTGTTGGTTGCTCAGATCTTTATCTTGTCCTCTTAAGCCTAGCAGTACTCACCTCGAGATATGGTGTCGTGCGATGATGTCACGTGCAACATCGCCCCCCCCCCCCCCACACACACACACCAACCCCTGGGTCATGCTAGGCCCGTTGGTTCTATGACGTCACAAGCCAGCCAACAAAAAATCATCACCCCTTCCCCCCCCCCCCCACTAACTCCTGGGTCATGCTTGGCCCGTAGGTTTTATGACGTCACAAGCCGGCCAACAAAAAATCATCACCCCTACAACTCCTGGGTCATGTTTATGACGTCATAAGCCGGCTTTATCTTTGAGTATAATTTATTACACGCTAAAAATCAATAGTTACTCTATGACTTAGGAAAATCGAAACAGCCTACGTTGAGAAATTAGGAGGGACAAATATCTGTGTTTAAACCAACATCCTCATTGATCGGGAAACAGCGATTCAAAAGACAGAGTAAAATCTATTACAATGATTACTAGCTGTACTGGATGTGGGCACACCCCCTCCCACAACATCTACGTAATATAAGAGCAACATCAATCGCCGTGGTGTATCACACATAATTAGATTCTAGCTGACAAGGAAAAAAAAAAGATAAAATATGGGTAACACCAAATGAACTCCCTACATAATTGGATCACTTTGGCACTACAGCCCCGCTGCTGCATAGGGTGAATTTCCTAGATAATTGGATCAGTTCGGCACTGACTGTACGGGCTAATCTTAAAATGGGACAAAGAGAGAATTATGTTTTTATCCCGTGTCTGTTTTGTGGCGATTACATTTCTGTTACATGTATATGTTATTCAGGATATTTGATGCCTGTTTAAATCATTACGTACAGTAGTTTATATTATCTTTGTGTGAGTGGATATGGGTGTGTATGGGTGTGTGGGTGTGTGAGGGTGTGAATATTTTATGCGTTGGCTGTAAGTAAGCCCTCCACGTAAGGAGAAGAAACGTTTTTATTATTGTTTTAAATACTTTTTAAAAAAATGTAAACAAGATAAGCTTCTTAGCATATCTATCACAGAGAAGAAACATTTTTTTTTTTAATTCAGAGAACACATAAGCAAGAGAGGATAAATTATCCTATCAATAAGAGCCAGCATTTTGCTTCATTACGTTTACATAATAAATCTAGTTTGTTACCTTAATTGTATTTATAGGCCCTAAAACCCTAAAACAAAATGTATGTGAAATGAGCTTACACTGTTTGAACGGGGCCGCGCCCCCTGCTCCCCCACTTGTAACGCCCCAGTCGCAAAAAAAAAAAAAAAAAAAAAAAAGCAAACTAGTTTACAAAACCAATTAGGGGTGGGGGTGAGAAATAGGATTTTCTGCATAAATTAATAAGCCTGTATGCACAATATTTTTTTTTAAATTACCTTCGCAGCCAACTGCCACTAAATAATTGTATCTTCCTGCAACATTCCATCCCAGAGCCCAAGCTATCAATACCCTGCAGGAATCTCTCATTAATAAAGACCATGTCGTGGCGAGGCAGAAAACATTGGCCCGTCAATCTCTTGCTAAAGCCTCTGTCAAAAATGGTTGACCTCAAGGCTATCAAACAACTGAGGTTCGGCGTGTTTGTTCAGTGGTTCTCACAATGTCGTGCAGGCTACACGTTGTGTTTTGTTGTTGTGTTCGGTATTTCACAGGAACTTTAAACCAAAACGTTGCGCTAGATCTAGACAATATAGATGTATTTTAGGTTGATAAGTCCGGTCTCCAGCATTTGTCATTATACTCAGGCCTCATGCCCATTTGTTTTATTTATTTTTAATCACCTATATAAATAACTAGGCATGCTGCCCAGCTTCGCTTAGGCTATCGAAAACATTGAGAATTTGAATGCTTAATTAATTCGCCCGAAGCTCGGTCTACGACCTCAAGAGTTATGAAGAGGTTCTTCCGTGGACATTTTTTTTCGATTTATAGCTCATATAAGGTACCGGTCAGTCGAGGTCAGTTTTGACCCCCACATCGTAGACTTTTCGGCCAACCGGCCCCCGTGTTCTGTCGCACCAAGGCAAGATCATGCCAAATTTGAAGCGCCTGCGGCGCCGGGAAGTGCCCTATCGGACACCCGACAATCTAGATCTAGATCTAGATTCCTAAAAGAATTTTTTTTTAAGTTTAGCCCGAGCATAATAAAAAAGAGTACATTAACCAAGTTGACTTGCTGTGTCTCGAACCCGCACCACCTGCGTGGTTTAATGTACACTAACATCTCCGCTATTTAGGCACCTTATAAAATACGGAGAATGAAACACGTATTTTAAAATCTTAACTTACGCGAATATGCCTATTCTTTCAAATTAATTTTTTATCCCAAATTAGCCAGTTCATAACAAAGATTTTGTATAAAATAAATAAGTCTTGAAATAGTTTAGTCCTAATATAGAAATTTATTTTTGGAATTGATTTTAGAGAAGTTAGAGTCTAAATCTAGATCTTAGCGTCTACGTCTAGATTCTAGATCTAGTTATTGCGTAGATTTAGATTTAGATTTAGTCTAGATCTAGAATCTCTAGATCTAGAATCCAAATACATAAAATAAATTTTATGAGTTTAGGCCGGAAAAATTGTATTGTATACATTTCATAGTGTACGTAGATCTAAATCAAATTTGAATGAAATAGTTCATTTCTTTTCATTCTAAACACGGCAGATGACGTCATTAGTTAATGTATAAGCAATAGTGACGTCACAGTTTTATGCGTTCTTTTTCACACATATTAATGCTTTTCCGGTTGCATAAATAATACTGTTTCTCTACATTCGAATACGCCTTTAATTTTTATTTTTCTTCTTTAACTAAAATTGTGGTTATACATTTAAAACACCTAACATATTATTTTCAACAAAAGTTTGCAAAAAGTTCTCGATATATCGCTGCCGATTCTGACGTGATGTCCGGCGAAAATATTTTGCGGACAGACAGAGAGAGAGAGAGAGAGAGAGAAGAGCGCACATGGCCTTTTATAAATTAGGATGTTTAGTATTCACGTAGGCTATATGGGTAGGCCTACTTGGCCTTTAGAAAATAAAAATATTTCAACACAAACATTTTTTCAAAACATTATTGTTATAATAAAAAATAATTTGCTACAAAAATATAATTTGAAGCGTGAAAAGTGATGTTCACTTTCGTATTAAATATTTAATCACTGTGGTAATTTAAGTGTTGGCAGAGACTCCCACCCCCCCCCCCACCCCCCACACTAAACGCCATCTTAATTTTTAAACAAAGCAAAAACAAGCTGATTCTAAATTCTAACAACTGTTGTTTTTTTTTTTTAATTGGCCTAAAACGTAAACATCACGACCGTTAAACAATTCATAATAGGTAACAAAACTAATGAGGGGCCTTAAGGGTGCAGTTTTATTCGTGTAAGATTATATTAATAGTTCGTATCCTATTCATTCCAAGGATTTCCCTGCTTTAGAAATAATAATAAAAAGTATAAAAAGATACGAAAGGTACACTTTTCTTCTACATTTATCCAACTACTAGAATCTAGAAGATAAATCTATTTTAAGCCTCGTGTTTATTTCGGTGCTTTAGTATTTAAATGTAACTCTTGTCTGTGCATACGAATTTAAAAAAATAGACCCAGCTAACTTGGCAGTTAGATCAACGTTTGCTTACCTGGCTATATAGATCTAGGACTTAATCCAGTGAGAAAGGTCAAAGTCACTTTTTAGTTTTTATTTTTATCCGTTGCTGCTAGACTGCTGCTATACACACTCAAAGCTTAATCCAATAACTCAACACACGGCTTAGCAATCACGTTCTGTTAGATTATTTATTATATTTAGTATCAAAACTTCTTTAAATTTTTAAATTGGAATCTAGTAATTGTTCGATAATTTACACTACAAAGAATTAAAAATTGTTTGTATCGAACGCTTACGACAAGTCGGTCCTACTTTTTAGAGTGATCCGTTGGTTTGAAACACAGCTATCGGCACGGCTGAATGACAACACTGCTTGAATCGTTGGGTTGTGGCACACACGCCGGTGACATAGCAGAGTGGGGCTTCACATTCGCCGCGTAGGGCGGAATCGCTTTCGCCAGCCTAATATAAATATTCGCTGTATGTATTTGTCGTCTGGCGAATTTTATTACCTTCGCGTCGAATTGTAAATAATGTACTATCGAATTGCAAACGTTCGTTTTGCTTTATTAGAGCAGTACAGCTTTATATTATGTTCGTAGACTAATGATTAAGTAGCTGAGTCGTAAAATAATTATCAATAGTCGCTGCAAGGCAATTATATTATACAATAAAACAATAATAATGTAGTCTATGTAGAGTACTTACCTTCTAATCAGTTTCTTCCAGGCATCTCTTGGGGGGGGGGGGGGGAGAAAAAAGTCGACCGCCCCCCCCCCCACCCCCGAACGAAATGGAATTTATATAGAAAACATACTTTTACCTGTGTCCGCCCCCCCCCCCCCCCCCCCCCGGTGAAAAAAGTCTGGAAGAAACACTGCTTCTAATGTGAATAGCCTACAGAGAATAGTATTTTCTAATGTATCTAGGGAACGTCAACCAATTGTTCGTGTTATTTATCTTCAAGAATTTTATATTTCAATGTAAAATGCATAATAAAAAATACACTCATATCGAGTTATGTTGTAGACTTGCAAATATAAGAGCCTGAATTATAATATAGCTTATAGTTCTATATCATCAAGTATGAATTTTTTTTTATAATATGTCTATAGAAAGTATATAGGCTCTACTTTAACCAATGTCCCTCCCCTTGTGACGGGGGGAAATGTATGCGTTACTATATGAAACTATATGATGACTACTCCTATAACTAACACTCCAACTATAAACATGTGATGAGGAAGGGAGCACTCTTATTTACCGACGACACTAAGTTAACGATATCAACAACTTCGATCATAAAATAGAATTAATTTTATTATCAAATACTAATACTAAACGAGCGAGAAACACACTACAAAAATATACAACACGTCCTTTTCCTACTATGGCTAACCCCCCAACTGTCTTCACTCATGCGTCCTACGTCATCGATAACGTTGTCACGCTCACGTCACACTCCAAATATTTTATTAAACAGGCGCACATACTCTCGAACCAAATCGTCAAGTTTACACCGTCCTTATTAGTCTCTACAGTCAAGTCTTATTTTTACAAGCTTTTATTTAACTCACTTCCTCTGTCGTCAGTCTGTCGACAGTCTGTCTAGACGGAAACGCAGGAGTGAAAATTCGGACAGTTCTACTTGACCGACACGATTCACAGTTGGCACGTGGGTCAAGACATGAAGACAATGCAATCTGAAACTAAATTTGACTTAATTGGATGCCTAATTGATTTTTTATGAATTAATTAAAATTTGGACCGAATTAGTAGGCATGTCTAGCCAACCACACCACACGCGTCATCAATAGCTGCGCCATCACGACCACGTAATGGCTGCGTTCAAAAACCATTGCGCGCCTACTGAACGTGATATTCAGTAGGCGCGCAATGGTTTTTAGTCATGTAACTCTATTGTAGATAAAACATGTAAAGTACTGAAAAAAAAATTCATAAAAAACGTTTTAATAACAAACTTTTATGTAATGATGCACTAAAAAGTAGAAAATAAATTATAGACTACTATTTAAATAACTATAAAGAAAAGCGTGGGTGTCTTCCTTAACATTAGTAAAGGTATCCAATAGATACTAAAGTGACCCACGCTTTTCTTTATAGTTATTTAAATAGTAGTCTATAATTTATTTTCTACTTTTTAGTGCATCATTACATAAAAGCTTGTTATTAAAACGTTTTTTATGAATTTTTTTTACAAGCTTTTATTTAACTCACTTCCTCGTCAGTCTGTCGTCAGTCGTCAGTCTGTCTAGACGGAAACGCAGGAGTGAAAATTCGGACAGTTCTACTTGACCGACACGATTCACAGTTGGCACGTGGGTCAAGACATTAAGACAGTATAATCTGAAACTAAATTTGACTTAATTGGATGCCTAATTGATTTTTTATGAATTAATTAAAATTTGGACCGAATTAGTAGGCATGTCTAGCCAACCACACCACACGCGTCATCAATAGCTGCGCCATCACGACCACGTAATGGCTGCGTTCAAAAACCATTGCGCGCCTACTGAACGTGATATTCAGTAGGCGCGCAATGGTTTTTAGTCATGTAACTCTATTGTAGATAAAACATGTAAAGTACTGAAAAAAAAATTAATAAAAAACGTTTTAATAACAAGCTTTTATGTAATGATGCACTAAAAAGTAGAAAATAAATTATAGACTACTATTTAAATAACTATAAAGAAAAGCGTGGGTGTCTTCCATAACATTAGTAAAGGTATCCAATAGATACTAAAGTGACCCACGCTTTTCTTTATAGTTATTTAAATAGTAGTCTATAATTTATTTTCTACTTTTTAGTGCATCATTACATAAAAGCTTGTTATTAAAACGTTTTTTATTAATTTTTTTTTACCACGTTTTCTTTAACTTGCTTTCTCTGTGTGTTTATTTATTTATTTGTTTGTCTTTCCAATCCAATCTTGCGATCGAAATTTCTGGCACTTCCCAGTTAGCTAGCGCGCTGAAATTTTCAGGGAAGCTTTCTTTTGGATGACCATTGAATATTCAATTGTTATTATTACTAAATTGATCAATGGAAACATTTTATTGAGCATTTTAGACCGCTATATAATCTATATATATAATTCTCCTCTGCTAGCCATTACAAAAAAAAAACCAGCGACGCGTACCTCGCGCGCAGTGAAGCGAACGATCACATGTCGCCACAGGCTTAGGGGCAGAGAATTTAGCTTGAACCGAGTTTAAACTTACAGGAGGTAGGCCAGTTTGGGGGAGACGATATGGTCGAGTGGTTGGGCACACGATTGCTATCCCACTCGACACGGGTTCAAATCTATGTGTTCTAGTCAGTAACGTATTCAAACAACGTGTTTTTTACGAGTTGTCTTTTTACGAGTTGTCTTTTTACGAGTTGTCTTCGTTTACCCAAAAAAAGTGAAAAGATAAAATCGATAGCAAGATTTTAATGCAAACAAACAGACAAAGACTAAAAAGTAGAAAATAATAATCATTAAAAAAGTTTTTAAAAACCCACGTTTTCTGATTGAACTAAAAAGTAGAAAATAAATGCTATAGGCCCTACATCACAATAATGCAAGCGATCACTCTACTATAAGCGAGCAAAAACGTGGGGCGCCGTGATTTTCTTACAGTTTCTAATACTGTTGACTCTCTACAAGCTCCCTAATAAAAGTCAATAGTATTATCTAATCAATAGTAATATAACTTTTACTTCGGCGCCCCACGTTTTTGATCGCTTATAGTAGAGTGATCGCTTGCATTATTGTGATGTAGGGCCTATAGCATTTATTTTCTACTTTTTAGTTCAATCAGAAAACGTGGGTTTTTAAAAACTTTTTTAATGATTATTATTATCCTTCTACGCTATGACAACTCCTCCCCCCCCTTCATTACCAGAGGAAATGTCAGATCGTTGCAGTGTTTCTTCCTGACTTTTTCCTTTCGGGGGGGGGGGGGGGGGAGGAGGGGGGGACACTGTTAAAAGTATATATTTTCTATATTAATTCAATTCCGTTCGGGGGCGGGGGGGGGGGGGGGCGGTAGACTTTCTTCCGAAGAGATGCCTGGAAGAAACTCTGGATCGTTGCTTCATGTGATGATACCTACCTAGGGTGGTGATACATGATGTCATCCCCTGGTGGTCTAAAGCAGAAGTCAAATAACGAGCAGATGCCACGGTTATTTCCAGATTTTAGTTTTCAATTTGCCCCTGTGACGATAGCACGAGAATTTATTTCCTGATAATCGTCCTTCACGGGCTACTGATAGTGTTTTAAATCAAAATATTTTCAGTTTCAGCATTGGAAGTGTTGAATTACTCAAAAGTAGGAAATAAAACAACTTAATAGCGGTGTATGCTAATTAAGACAAAGAAAACAATTAGCTAAGTTATAAGTTATAACAGCCAGGTATGAATATAGCTTCGACATGCTATTAGATTTTTTTTTCTAAGAAAGATAATCCAGCATAAACTAATCGTGTCTTAAGTATATAGGGTGGTCTACCGTGGTTTGAAAAATCAAACAAAACAAAGGCAGGTTTTTTTGTAAGAAATTTTTTTTTTATTCACTTCTAAAGTACACCTTCACCAACACATGATTAAAATGTCTTAAATATATTTAAATTTATTTTAAACTTTATTTAAATTTATTTTAAACTTTATTTATAGTGTTTATTTCATGTTAGACACATTCTGTATCCATATAAAGACAGGTTAAAAATAAATATCAAAGTAATAAAAATGTTTATAAAATGAAATTTCCCTTGCTTAGTCATGATATCATGAAAAGATAAATTTAAATATAATAATTGCAGTTAACTAAGTAATTAGACCACAGCTGAAAGAAATAAAATGTGATTATCTTTTTGGACCTACTCGTCCATGGGGTAGATAAGTAAAGCTTAAATTTCGTAACCTGGAAATACAAATGGACAGTGTGGTCAGTTCTAATTAGTTCTATGCCCAACTACCTCTAGTTTCTTAAAGTCAGGTACCCATACAAGCTGAGTTCTATACGCTCTATGCCCAACCACCTCTAGTTTCTTAAAATCAGGTACCCATACAAACTGAATAGACTGAGGGATCCGAACTTGAGACTTTCAGGCTAGCAGTCAACCTCGCTGTCTCACTGGTAACAGAACTCAGAGGAAGTTATTTAATTCTACAACTAAAATATAATTTTTTTTTGCAATTTTAAATACTCGTAAAACATGCACAAGTTAATGAGCTTCGTTTAACACCTCTTGCTTAATGAGCAACATGTAACAAATTACACAACCTACTGTACTGTATCTGTGATAAACAATTCATAAGTAATAAATCGAAGAAAAAAAATCACTTTTATATAAAAGCAGATAGGAAGGCCAACATATTGAATGTAATATTTTCCTGTGTACATTAAGTGTTTCAACTATGCAGTGTTTCATTGTACAAACATTTTTAATCAAGTTTTATTTAATAAGATTTTATATGGCTCTATAGCATAATTCAACACATAAAAAGATAACAAAATAGCTTTATAATGGCTTAAAATTAACAAGTTGATAATTAAAACAAATTCATTTCATATTAGCAAAAGGTATTAATGTTATGTTAAAATTTAAATATAAATAACATTGAAACTAATAAATTAATTACCTTTGAAAAATACATAACATTCAACATTTTAATTCTTATATCACAAAAAATTATTTATATATATACAATGGTTTTATTAAAAAACATTTTTATAAAAAGGTAAAACTTCAAGGATTGAAAAAGCAAATTACACATAAATGTTTTCCAATGTCAAAATTTTTAAATAACATAAAGCTATTTAATGGCTTACAGGTATATATACTTTTGATAGTTTAAAAATATTATTTTAAAAATTGAATTAATTCCCATCAACCAACAAAGGTAAACTTCTGATTTACTTCTCATTAAGAAAATATTTTAAACAAATGATGAACTTGCAAGTTTATCCAAAAATAATATTAACACCATTACGGTGTTAAAACTACATTTAATCAATTTAACATTAAATAAGATAACAAATAGCTCAAACATTTAATCAAGGCAATGAAATGAATTGGCTTATTTTAGAATTAAAATATATATTAAATGTCTCTCACTCGCTCTCTTTATATATATATATATATATATATATATATATATATATATATATATATATATATATATATATATATATATATATATATATATATATATATATATATATATATATATATATAATTATACACACACAGTTAAATATTTTTTATACATGAAAGCACTTTACATATAAAAATCATTGAGACAAACTAATAATGCGATATCACCAAAACTTATATTTATATATTATTTCCTTTTAACACAAAAAAAAGTTACCTAACACGAAAAAAAATGTATCTTTTTTGGGATTTGACTTGACCATGCATTTTGTTGTACAAACTTTTTTATCTTGTAAGGAATTATGAGTTGGATATATATTTTAAACAAAACATAATATCAGATGGTGCTGGATGGGTCATGCATTACGGATTAAACCAGGTGATATCACGAATGGCCCCTGAAGGGTTAAGATAAAAATCTGTTGGTTTGAGCTGAGAGCTCGGTTGAAGTTTATAAAATGTATGTTGAAATCAAGGAAGCCTGTGTAAAAATGTACGAATTTGTATGTTGTGCTTTTTTTAAAATTCAAAATCAATTTTATTTTTATTTTTTAAGTGCACAATAGCAAAGAACAAACTGCTATTTCACTTAATACTGAGATGGATCTTGACATAGGTTTAATTGGAAATCCATGTAAAACATTTGGTAACACTTACTCTACATTGTCAATGGTAATTTAAAAAAAAATATCAAATCACTGCACTGGGTTTAAATCTGCATCACTTTATGAATCTAGAGAGTGTACTAAGCAAGGATGGGGAAGTAGATGATGACATAAAAAACCCAGACCAGTTTTACATTTAAACAATTATCACTGAACATGGAAAAATAATAATGCTTTTTTTCTAGTTTTATATAAAGCTTTATACTATGTATAGCTCATTCTAGTTTGCATTTCTATAATCTTAAATAATTTTTTTTTTAAAAACACAATTTTGTTGAGTAGTCTACTTATTTAGGTCTATATTTTTAAAATTTTCAGCAATCCTATCGAATGAGTCAGGATTTGAAAACATAGGATTAGCTGAATTATCTCCCCCAGAGATGACAGACAGGTCTTTTGAAGCTTGGAGATGGCGTACTTTAATGTTAACTAAAACTTTAGATAGAGGGCTGGCGACATTTAATTTATACTCATTTCCCAAAGTCAGAAGGACATAATCCTTAGGGCAGCTAAGAGTTGTATCACAAGTGTAATCATTCAAATCTTTTAAAAATTTCTGGTAATCAAAAATTTTTGTGTGAATAGTTTGCTCATTGGAGTGCTTTTTCCGAGGTACTGGAGTACAATGAGTCTTGCTGTCTGTATAGAATGTTATTAAATGGCTTCTACGCTCAACCCAAATGTCCCCATGTACGTTCTGAAGAACAATACCTCTTTCAAAATTGTCCAACATTCTCATAATCTTATCTTTATTTTTGTCAGGAAAGTCGTCTAAGGATTTTATATGAGGCAGCTCAACCGCCCACTCATCTGGGTAAGGATTAGCCAAATTTTGAACAACAGGGTGGTTATAGTGACCACAGAATATTCTACATTTCTGTTCGTTAACTGAAACACTCATTACAGGTCGTGACGGGGTATCATAGGCTACTTCAAGAATCATCCACGGCTCAGGGGTAATGGCAGCAGCTGGTGGTTGGCTCATCAGGGTATTATCTGGCATGTTAACATTCTGTGACTGGTCCAAACCATTGGTTAAACCAACATTTTGTGGGTAGCCAGCACCATTAGTAACACCAGCATTTTGTGGGTAGCTAGCACCATTAGTAACACCAGCATTTTGTGGGTAGCTAGCACCATTAGTAACACCAGCATTTTGCTGGTAGCTTGCTCCATCAGTTAAACCAACATTTTGTGGGTAGCTAGCACCATTAACCAGAGTTTGATTCTGGTTGCCAGGGGCTCTACCTTGTTGATAAGGTTGAGGTGAATTTCCATGACCAACTTGTTTGTTTGTTTGAGCTAAGGTTTCACAGCCAACTTGTTGATACAGTTCAGGTAAAGTTCCACTAACAGCCTGCAAACTTGGACAAACCAGATTGGAATCCAAGGTATCCATTTGTTCATCACAAGGAATGTTAAAGCCTAAAGCAGGAGAGCCCATTTGACTTGTTTCTAAATAGTCTAAGAGATCAAAACTGTCACTGGAAATATTGGGAGTATCACTATTCAAATAATTTACAGCTTCGTCTAGAACCGGTAAAGGTATATTATAACCAGTCGGGTCTTGTGAGTCTGACTGGGAGAAATAGTCGCTGGTGGAAAGGGTAGATGAACTAGATGCTGAGACATTAGAGTTGGTTCTTATAGGATGTGGTGTACTTGACCCTATAGGTGAACTTAAAGTGTTAGCAAAATGCGCTCCATCTATTGCGTTTTCTCCAGGTCCCAACATGTAATTTATAGAGTCAGCTGTAAATTGGCACATAATATACTGGTTATCCCCTGTTTTATTGTCCTGCTCTTTAATCCTTTGAATGCCTTTGCTTTTGTTTATTGCACATCGAAGGTTTGTTTTCCATTTTGGTAGGTCTTCGACATCGCCGTCTTTAAAGCCATATTTATGTGCAGCCCACAGCTTGAAGATTTGTGAGTCACTTTGGTTTTGTTTCCATTGTCTACTCTTTTGGTTCATCCAGGGTATTTGGAACCTTTTCTCATCAACCATCCTTAGACCAGGGCACTGCTTGCTACGGATTATCTTGACGAACCATTTGGTGATATCGAGATTACCCTCATCCATGATTGATAATCTACAAAGAGTAAAGGAAATAATGTATTTGAATGATTTAGGCTAGAATATTGTGCTGCTCTTGAGTCAATTTAATTAAAGTGCATCATAATGGAATTCACAACAAAGGTAAACAGTAACAAAAACGTGAATTTTTCTTTTATATATTTTCTTAAAAAAGATGTATTTTTTAAAATAATAGCTCAGTTCAACTACTTATGATTAAGCCATAGTAGGCTTTGCAAAGTAGGATATGCAAACAACTTTCTATAACTAGCGTGTTTAGGTCAAAAGACTGGAACCACCCAAGTCCAACAACCCAAGTGACTGCTTGAATCTTGAATGATTTGATTAGAATTTGGGCTGGATACAGTGATTAGGCCAAATGAAAATGATAATTTGAATGAATATTAAAATTAGCCTTAGAAATCTAGTTTGATTAGCCTAATGAATAATATTTAGAATCCAGCAGAACTAGTATTTATAATGCCCAAGGCTATTCCCAGCTGACTGTGAATAACCGTATTGGGGCTATCCCTAGCCGACTGTGAATAGTCCCAATACAGCTATTCCCAGTCGGCTGTCATTTCATGCTAAATACGACTGGGAATAATATCTTACGATAATGAAAGCATTTATATTTTAAAGTGACTGGGGAGTGAGGTATAGTATAATATAGATTAAGAGAGCAGTGCTAATTTTTATTGCGTTATATTTTCATTAAAAAAAATATTATGGTTTAAGTTTAGTTTAGCTTTTAGGCTCTCTGATACGTAGGTAGGTAGCAGATGATCAAAATCATTATGCACTCTATTTAAATCTATACTAGTGTGTGTAATAGATCTAGTAATTTTTAAATAAATAATATTAATTAGGCTATGCATAAGTCATAAAAGGTTAGTTAATTAGTAGTTCACGTCAATTACGACAATTAGTAGTCAATTACCATTTAAAATTCGCATAGAACAAAAATATCAGGTAAAATTTTAAATAGAATGTCCTTTTTAATCAGCTATCATTCAGTTCACATTTTCCATCTCACTTTTCCCAAGTTGTTTTTTCTCTTATACTAGCCATCGGTACCCATTTCACGTGAATTATAGGCCTATATATATATTTTAAAATGTTGAACTTGTTTTAGAAAAGTAATTTATAAAATAGTTATTGGTCAAAACGCAATGTGCATTACTACACGCTGAACGATATTACTGACAAAGCAAAGAAATAACTAATTAGCTAAAAATCCGACACATTTAACATAACACAGGCACACACTGATTAAGTGACTTAAATGATTCCGTTACAAACTTGGCTATTCCACAGTATTCTTCTTGTTTTTAAAGTGATTTATTTATATTAGGTTTTTATGAATAGATCTATAGATTTAAATGAAATAGTTCATTTATTTATCGGTAACCATGCCATATTAAATGCACTCGCTGATTAAGAGACTTAAAATTAAGAGACTTAAATGATTTCTTTAAAAACCCGACTGTTCAATGGTAGTTCTGTTGTTTTTAGTAGATAGATCTAGATCTGGATTCTAGTCTAAATCCTGATCTTAGCGTCTACGTCTAGCTTTTCCGTAGATCTAGTCTAGATCTAGAATCGAGGATCTAGATCTATATCTAGAATTTAAATAGATAAAGTAAAAACTTATAAAAGTTTAGGCCGAGAAAATCGTATTGTATACATTTCATAGCGTACGTACAATCTAGTTCTAAATCATATTTAAATGAAATAGTTCATTTCTTTATTTCATTCTAAACTCGGAAGATGATGTCATCAGTTTCGTGCTCTTTTTTTTTAGTGTAAGCAATAAGCGACGTCATTGTTAAATGCGTTCTTGTCCCAAGTATAAACATTTTTCCGGTTGCATAATTAAAATTGTTTTTCTACATTCAAATACGCCATTATTTTTTATTTTTCTTCTTTAAATAAAATTGTGTTTATACATTTAAAACATCTAACATATTATTTTCAACAAAAGTCCGTATAAAGTTCTTCATATATCGCTGCAGATTCTGATGTGATGTCCGGCGAAAATATTTTGCTGACAGAGAGAGAGAGAGAAGTGCGCACTTGGGCTTTTATATATTAGGATAAAATCTAAGGGACTGGTGTTTACTTATTATTATTAAGTTATTACTTACTTACTTAGGCCTAATTAGTAATTAATTTAAGTCCTTAAGAAGTTTATAAGTATTGTAATTGTACTATTAGTACTAGATCTAGATTCTACTAGATCTAGATCCAGATCTAGATCTACCTAAATCACTAAAACTAAAATCAGAAGTTACTGTACAGTACAGTGTACTGTAGTGTTGTTAATTGTAGTCTCTAGATCTAGTCTCTGTAGTCTGTAGTGAGTGTAGTTACTACAACTAGATTCTAGATCTAGATTTCTAGATCTCTAATCTCTAGAGTAGAGGTCTACAAACAATTAGATCTAAGAATCTAGGTCTAGTCTCTAGCTAGCTAGATTCTAGATCTATACATGTAACTAAAACATACCTTCAGTCTTCAACTTAGATAAAAAAATGGTAAAATCACGATATAGCGTCGGAAATTATCGGGTAATGTTCGTTGAGTTTCGGTAACATTCGTTACTGTAAACCATAGTTTATTTGACCGGTGAAATAAAAATAAAGTCAAGTGCATTAAATTAATGTTTTAACTTAATTTACAGTTTAATTGACAGAAAATTAATAACAGATAGAAAATCTAAATATTATTAATAAACTCGAGTGTAGTAATTAATTTTTTTTTTTTTTAAGAAACAGAAAAAACCTGCAGAAGATTTTTGCGACAACCAGCTCTTGTTCTGTTAGTAAATAAGACGATTAGATTAACTAAAGTTAAAAGTAGTAAGAATAACTAGAATAATGTTTAGTTAGTAGCAGCAATAATTAGCACATACACTTAAAATAATTAGAAATACAAAATAATTAGCAAAACAGTATTTAAAATGCAACTAAAATCAATCCTTGCACATTTTTAAACATTATGTATTAAAAATAATATAGCGGCAAATAAATGATGGTTTACAGTATTTCCGGTGGTTTCCTGAACGGCTCGACAGACTACGCCATGGTTTTACTGTTTTTTACTGCTGTACAGTTCCGGAATAATAACCGACGCTATATCGTGATTTTACCAAAAAAATTAATTTGATGAGGGATATGAAATTATCGAAATGATAACTATTGTTACTTTAGATCTAGACTTCTAGAATCTAGATTCTACAACAGTTTTTTTTCTTACTAATGATTTAGTCTTCGGGACTTGGTACTTCAATCAAGGAACGTATTCGGTTCCCAGCAGGTTTTTTTCAATAAAAACAGAATCGATTCTTTTATAAATTAATTATTAAAACTATTTAAACAAGCATTTATACTTTACAGAACTTAAACTGATCTAATATATTATGGGAACATTTATATTGTTTAGTTATAGGTATATTTACTAGAATAGATATACCTTTTTTTTATTTAACAGTAAATGGTATTCATACTTACGATTGTATCATTAGAAAAAATGCTTAGGCTTAAATACTTTTTCGATACCAAAAGAAAACCAAGGGGGAAAATATAGCTCTATTTTTAGAGCTAACTTGCTTAAAATAGATATCGGAAAATACCGCTCCTGTTAAGTGTTTCAGGACGGTAAACGGAAAAAAAGTCACAGGAAAAAAAAACACAGAAAAAAAGTCACAGTTTTTGCTAGGAAAAAAAGTCACAGAAAAAAAGTCACAGTGGAAAAATTTTATCGGAAAAAAAGTCACAGAAATAAAGTCACAGAAAAAAAGTCACAAAAATCTTTTTAGAAATATTTTTATTAATTTGTTAAGAAGTGTAAAACTTTGTGTGTTTATTGTTGTGGGTTGTATTTTTTGATAGCATAAATTTTTTATAGACGTTAAAAGCATTATGATTTATAACAATTGTAAGTAAAAATACTCTAAGATAATTAACACAACAATCTCAACTTTTGTTACATATTTAGTTAAATACGCGGTAGAAATGTTAATTATAAAAGAAATTTAGGCACATTTTGCCGTAGGCTATTCTCTGGTCGGCCTCCCTCATTAGTCATTGTCCGAACATATTTTGTGTTGTTGACGTTATGCGTCAATGACAGCCTTTGAACCTTGTCGGCTTTCTGTTTTGATCCTAAGTTTTGTTATGTAATGAGCGTGATAAATGTGGGCAGTAAAGGGTGGTTGAACTAAATATAGCTATTGTTGCCATGAGTTGAGGGCAGCAAGTCAGATGAACTTACCATTTCACGGTAATTTAATATTGGTATTAAAAAAAAACACGATGAAAAAACGTGGATTCTTCATTATTATTATTATTATTATTATTATTATTATTATTATTATTATTATATTTTTATTATTATTATTATTATTATTATTATTATTATTATTATTATTATTATTATTATTATTATTATTATTATCAATATTATTATCATTATTATTATTGTTATTACTATCAACAGATTAGAAACTATAATATTAATTTCGTTGTTTTACCTGATTATTGTGGTTACGTTTAGTCGTCATATCAGAGCAAACTGAAAACATTTGCTTTCCTGAAGTCTTCCGAGCTGCCATTTTGTGACATAGTATTTTCATTTTTTGAGGTCGATACAGGAGTTCCATTTTGTGACGACGATATGGAATTGCCATTTTCTGGGGGCGATACAAAACTTCCATTTTGTGAGGGCGACATAAGACTTCCATTTTGTGAGGGCGACATAAGACATCCATTTTGTGAGGGCGACATAAGACTTCCATTTTGTGAGGGCGACATAAGACTTCCATTTTGTGAGTGCGACATTAGACTTCCATTTTGTGAGGGCGACATAAGACTTCCATTTTGTGAGGGCGACATAAGACTTCCATTTTGTGAGGGCGACATAAGACTTTCATTTTGTGAGGGCGACATAAGACTTCCATTTTGTGAGGGCAACATAAGACTTTCATTTTGTGAGGGCGACATAAGACTTCCATTTTGTGAGAGCGACATAAGACTTCCATTTTGTGAAGTCGACATAAGACTTCCATTTTGTGAGGGCGAGATAAGACTTCCATTTTGTAAGGGCGACATAAGACTTCCATTTTGTGAGGGCGACATAAGACTTCCATTTTGTGAAGTCGACATAAGACTTCCATTTTGTGAGGGCGACATAAGACTTCCATTTTGTGAAGGCGACATAAGACTTCCATTTTGTGAGGGCGAGATAAGACTTCCATTTTGTGAGGGCGACATAAGACTTCCATTTTGTAAGGGCGATTCTAGACTGCCATTTTGTGCTGCAGATTCTATAGAACCTGTAAGTGAACTCAATGGGCCAGGTATCTTATCAGGAACACACCTGTAAAGCTCACCATATAAGGCAGCCTTCATATTTCTTACTTTTACCCAAACACCAGCGTCACGTAGAGGTCTCAGGTCATCGTGCACGATATCCATACCAATAACCAAATAAAAATGATCTCTAGGGGTAGGAATGCTACTGTCGTCAGCACACCTTTCCAGCTTTGCTCTGAACGCCGCGAAGTCAAAACCTTTTTCGTACACGGGCTTGGCGCTTCTACCTTTTCTACGTGTTAATTTTTTAGACTGTGAAGCCCCATCCCAATAAAACACACAGACGTTGCTCCTTCGCTCTACGTAAATGTCGTCGTCCTTGTACCTTAAACTTAGACCTCTTGCAAAGTTGGAGAGATATGATTGCAGTGTTGGTCTTGTTTTTGAACATACTGGTAAAGATTCGAGTTGTGGAAGAGGAATAGAAAACTCCCCCGCATCAGGCCCCCAGACATCCGGTACAGGATTGGCCTTGACATTGTCGTAGAAAATCTTGCAGGAGGGACTAGATACTTCGATGTCAATGACGGGGTTTTTGATACTTCGATAGTAGACCTGGACGTGCATCAAAGGGAGAGATGGTGTCGAAGTTTCAGTAGCTGGTGTTAATACAGAGAGGACAGAGTGTGTCGTGTGTTGGTCTGATACCCCGACAGCATCAAGGGGACAGCCAAATGAAGACGGTGTGTTACTGCTACCCTCCAACTTTCGTAACAAACTAGCATCCCTGTCATTGAGGTTTAACGTTGGCTTCATCTTCTTCTGCGGTTGATCTTCACGCAGTTTGATGTTTTTAAATATCTCCAGGAGGGTATCGATGGAATCAAAATCTGATCGGAGCGGTCTTGGCAGTTGTGTGTGTAACCTGGCTGTATTGAAAAGATAGTAGGCGGCCTGCACGTGACGTACTCTCAAGGCCACGAGCACGTGTTTCATTGGTTGAGCGTCACCTGGGACTATTTCGTTACCCAGCGTCAAGATAAAATAATCTTTAGGATAAGGTTCGTGTCTGTTTCTTTTGTATCTCTCCAGCTTCTCTAGGAAATCTTTAAAATCAAACACCAACTTGAAATCTTCTTCACTCGCTGAATCAGACTTCTGCCTATTCAGAGTCAAACGCTCAGATTTGAAAACACCATCGGAGTAGAAAACATGAATTGTACATTTTCTCTCAATGTAAATGTCGTCTTCCTGGTATTTTATTCGAACCCCCTTATAAAAATCTTTAAGAATGTCCATCATGTGATCTTGGCTTTTTTTGTCGCAAGAGTTTGGCGTCGGTAGAGAAATTTGAAACTCCTGAGAACTCCCAGTATCGGTCACACCTTCAGGTTGACGCGGGTCATAAAATATCTGGCAGTGGGGAACCCCTGATGGTATGTTAACTGTTTGAACCACTGTGTGGCTCAGGTCGTATCTCACCTCCACCTCCATCGTCGGGAACCCGGACAAACCCTCTAGACCGTCAAGATCCGCGGGCAAGTTGGTATCCGAAGTTTGCACGCCAATATCTGGAACTTCCCAATTACGCGATATAGTCGTACGTGCGGGGAGGCTACAAAATAAATCATTTCCGGAAATTTCCGATAAAGCATGGTCTTCTTGCACATATTCCCCAACTGGTTCTTCTATCCCACACTTTCCGTCCTCTGATTCTTTCTGGCACTTTCTCTTCCGAGTACAGCACTGCAAGTCCTCATTTTCCAGTGAAGGATAACTCAAAAACTTATAAATCCTGTAATTCTTTTCCTTCCTTACCAGCTGAACGTCTTTACGAAATTTGTTCAAAGCACAACTGAAATTTTGTTTCCATATTTTCGGATCTGTCCCCTTGTAGTTTTTATGCGTGGCCCAAGCTCGCAGGAAAATGGTGTCATCGCTCTCTGGTTTCAGCCCGCCACTTTTTTGGTTCTGCCACGGGATTTTAAAAGTCAGTTGGTCAGGATCTAGCATCTCTAGGCCTGGATATTGACCACTGGTCAACATTTTAGCTAGCCATCTGGGCAATGTTAATTTGCTGTCGTCTGCCATACTTCTGCAACAACAAAGAAAACATCAAATTTTAAGCTGGAGTTTTGGATTTGTTATTGAAATTTGATTCTTACCTATTCGCCGTACACTAATCCAAGTTTTAATAATGTTTGCATTGTCTTGACGATAAATTAATCCTAATCTGATTTGCTATCCATCATGGTGGGCTTGGGGTCATTATTATTTTTATGTTTATCTGGTGTTAGATCATGGGTCATAATTAGGATTAATGTTAAAGTTAGGTTATCGTTATTGGACATTATTGCTTCATGAATGTGTTTGTATAAATAATCGAGAAGTGTCAAATCCGACCATCTAAAACACGCATACACACATATAGGTCCTATCGTGTTTATGTGAGTGTTTAATCTTCTCGTCTCACGAATACAGCACTGTAATGTCACAGCTATACAACACTTTAATGTCACAGCCATACAACACTGTACGGTCAGAGTTATACAACACTGTAAGGTCACAGCTATACAACGTTTCAAGGTCACAGCTATACAACACCACAAGGTCACAGCTATACAACACTGTAATGTCACAGCCATACAACACTGTACGGTCAGAGTTATACAACACTGTAAGGTCACAGCTACACAACACTATAAGGTCACAGCTATACAACACTTCAAGGTCACAGCTATACAACACTGTAATGTCACAACTATACAACACATTAAGGTCACAGCTATATAACACTATAAGGTCACAGCTATACAACACTTCAAGGTCACAGCTATACAACACTTCAAGGTCACAGCTATACAACACTTCAAGGTCACAGCTATACAACACTGTAATGTCACAACTATACAACACATTAAGGTCACAGCCATACAACACTATAAGGTCACAGCCATACAACACTATAAGGTCACAGCTATACAACACTGTAAGGTCACAGCTATACAACACCACAAGGTCACAGCTATACAACACCACAAGGTCACAGCTATACAACACTGTAAGGTTACAGCTATACAACACTATATGGTCACAACTTGACAACACTATAAGGTCACAGCTATACAACACTTTAAGGTCACAGCCATACAACACTATAAGGTCACAGCCATACAACACTATAAGGTCACAGCTATACACCACTTTAAGGTCGCAGCTACGCTCTAACACGTTGAGAGAAACACATGCAGGGTATAAACTGGCCAGTATACAATTCCACTGCACTGACTCCAGAACTGACTCTAGAACTGACTCTAGAACTGACTCTAAAACTGACTCCAGAACAGACTCTAGAACTGACTTTAGAACTGACTTTAGAACTGACTTTAGAACTGACTTTAGAACTGACTCTAGAACTGACCCCAGAATTGACTTTATAACTGACTCTAGAACTGACTCCAGAATTGACTTTAGAACTGACTTTAGAACTGACTTTAGAACTGACTTTAGAACTGACTCTAGAACTGACTCCAGAATTGACTTTAGAACTGACTCTAGAACTGACTCCAGAATTGACTTTAGAACTGACTTTAGAACTGACTTTAGAACTGACTTTAGAACTGACTTTAGAACTGACTCTAGAACTGACTCCAGAATTGACTTTAGAACTGACTCTACAACTGACTCTAGAACTGACTTTAGAACTGACTCTAGAACTGACTCCAGAATTGACTTTAGAACTGACTCTACAACTGACTCTAGAACTGACTCTAGAAATGACTTTAGAACTGACTCAACAACTGACTCTACAACTGACTCTAGAACTGACTTTAGAACTGATTCTACAACTGATTCTACAACTGACTCTAGAACTGACTTTAGAACTGACTCTAGAACTGACTTTAGAACTGACTCTACAACTGACTCTATAACTGACTCTAGAACTGACTTTAAAACTGACTCTACAACTGATTCTACAACTGACTCTACAACTGACTCTACAACTGACTCTAGAACTGACTTTAGAACTGACTCTACAACTGATTCTACAACTGACTCTACAACTGACATTAGAACTGACTTTAGAACTGACTCTACAACTGACATTAGAACTGACTTAAGAACTGACTCTAGAACTGACTTTATAAATAAAGCATTTCCTCACGTACTGAGATATTTAGACTCGTGACTCCCCGATCTAGTAACACTGTTAGACTCTCCCGTCCACTTCTCCACCTCCACCCATCCCCCGGAGCACGTCCACTGCTCTTCCACTAGAAATATTTGTCCGCCCTTCCCCCTCCCCTGTAAGTTGTAAATGCCTCGATCCCGGATAAAAATATTTAATACAAACACGGTTGACGTAACTCGAGAAATTATGCAACAATTAAATATCCCTAAGACTTCGTTTATCTACAATACATACCTATAATACTATCTTTACAATCTGAATCAGCTAGAAAACAATTCAATAAAACATGCACTTAAATTCGTTGTCCTGAAATATACACCAAACATCCACGTATGAGGCTCTGTGCCGTATACACACGGAGAGTTATTTTTTTAGTAAACCTCAGTTTAAATTTTTTTACTTATCCCTGGTGCTTTTTCTGACGGTGGGAATTTTGTCACTTCATTTCAAGCCATTTTTTTCTTTTTCGATGGTTTTTTTTTTTCAAGTCCTGAGTAACGAAACTCTTCGTTTTTTACGTGATGATTAAATAAAGAAAAAATCCAACACTTAGATAAGAATATCACACATACAATATCATACATGACTTAAACTACCCACACGATAAAGGCACATGTTTACTATCATTGACATAATAACCAACTACCACGTCATTGATTTCCCCTACAAGGCTTAAGCTTGCTATATTTAGCTCGGTTACGAATAGGTTTTTCCTTCCTTGTCACATTTAAATGAGGCCCACTCCAAAATGATTTGCTACCTACCGCTGGGTTAATAGTTTATTAGATCTAGACCTATACTTTGCATCACCGTGCTTGGGATAATTGTGATTTTTTAAGTAAAGAACATTAAAAGATGGCAACTTGCCGATAGATTTGATGCGGTTGAAATTGAAAACGAATTGTATGAAGGGTTAGTAAGAGTTAAGCTCCCCTTTCAAGCTTTATGGTCCATAGACCTACGGCTGATGAAGTGGAGTTCATATGTTTCTTGACCTCGGCATATGAAGGGATAATATGGTCAGCACTATGCCCAGCTGTCTCGCCTTTTACCAAAGTGAGTTAGGTACCCATCAGAGCTGGATGCACTCAGTGAGTTAGGTACCCATCAGAGCTGGGTCGGCTAAGTGTGTTAGGTACCCATCAGAGCTGGATTGACTTAGGGACGTTATGCTATCTCGACCCCAGATCAAGATCATGGGCGTAGTAACCGAACACTTGACCATGCCGTACGGGCGATGGTCAATTATTGGTAGGTTGGGGGGGGGGGGGGGTGTCAGACCTGGGACAGGACCTAACTAAAATTATCCATCACCTCTCACTTGGTCCTCTAGGGGTCATTCATTCGTGATTTTTAAAAAAATCATTTGACTCCCTCCTACTTGAGGTGATATGTGAGGAAAGGTGTATAAGAATATCTGTTTTTATAAGAGGAAACATTAAAAAACTTGATTAGAAACAATGTGGTCTAGTGGTAGAGCTTATTAGACCTCAGCTTTGATGAGTACCTGGCTCTGGGCCGGGTCGTAAGCGAAGTAACAAAATGTGACTATGATGAAAAAAAAAGTACTTCATTCTCTTTAAACATTGAAACATAGTCGGATACGATTTTCGTGTTTTTATTACTAATCAACTGTTACAACAAAAAGTACAAAAACTGGGATGCAGATTGTTTATTTAAAAATTGCACTGATTCGTTTACAGCGAAGCTGGAACGTTTGAGGCGAAAAAAACTGTCAGACATTTTGTTTTTATTTTGGCAAGCTAAGTTTAAATAAAAACGTAATTCAAGCATGACCAACACTTAAAGCAAGGCAGGGAACAAACACATGTTTATACAGTCAGCTCGATGTGTGTACTTTGTATTGTCAATCGTAAGTAGTGCGAGAAGGTTAACAATCATTATTTGCACACTTAGCAGTCCCAACAGGTTACTTGGAATGTTAGCAAATTTGAAGTGCGAACGATGACACAGGCGAATTGACCAGAACGGACCGATGACTTTGTGTTTGTGAATTATTTCGTGCGATTTGACCATGATTCCACCAAATCCAAGTTGTTATGTTGATTCAAGCTTTTTAAAAATAGAATCTCTTATTCATGATCAGTTTTATTGTAGCTCTATTCCCACGAGGGATTGATAACTAAATTGCCACAAGGAATTGATAACTACATTGTCACGAGGGATTGATAAACTGTTTCGAGGGATTGATAACTATATTCCCACGAGGGATTGATAACTAGAATGCCACGAGGGATTGATCAAGTTGTGGCAACGAGTACTCAGCCTCTGGCAACCAGTGTGCAGAAGATTGATACTTGCTGCACTCTACTGCAGCCCGCACGTGAAGAAGCTTAAAATAGAGACACGATTTACGGAATGGCCGTGAGTCGTTGTGAATAATGTCGTTACCGACTATCACAAAAACGTGATCTTTAGGACACCGTTGGCTTGGGTTGGCTACACATCGAGTCATTTCAAGTTTGAATTGTTGGTAGTCGAAAACCTTGACGAAAAGAGGATCGGCGTGGCGGTTTTGTCTTCGGTCTAATTTCATCGATGTAGTGGCGCCGTCTGAAATGAAGATTCGAATCGGACATCTTCGTTCTATGTAGATATCGTCATTTTCATACTTGATGCTGAACCCGCGCGCCAAATTTTTGAGACGTTCGGCTATTTTTTCTTTGTGTTTACTCGGTTGCGACAGGATATTAACGGACGGTAAAGTCAGGCAACCTTCTCCATTCTCTGGACCAATACGTTCTCTGACTGCTGGAGTGGCAATACAGTCATACAATATCTTCCACTGAGGTGTTGATAAGTATTCAGCAAGTACTTGCTTGTGTGGAACATCGTAGTAGACTTCTATGGAGAGTAGTGGCAATGTGTTAGCTCGGACTTGCAATGGTATTTCGTTTACACGAGCTGAATCGATAGTCATCTGAGCCGGGTTGGGTTCTGTTAGATGCAGGTTCTGATTCAAGTTGGGTTCTGTTAGATGCAGGTTCTGGAAAAAGTTAACAACGTTGTCAACAGAGTCCAAGTTGGAATTTAACGGATCTGGAATCCGCTCCTGTTGACTGACCCATTTGTTCAGCTCTGTGGCGGCTAGAGAGTGACGTATTCTCACGGCAACGATGACGTTTCGCATCGGACGGTTGTCGCCTGGTATTACGTTGTTACCAAATGCAAGAACAAAATAATCTTTTGGGATAGGTTGAGTGTCGTCGTCTGTGTGTTGCTTCAGCTGTATAAGAAATTGGCTGTAACTGAAGACCTGTGTAAACTCGCAATCTGAGGCAGGCAGAGACACAGATTGTACAAAACCGTCCGTACAATACACACGCATTCGACATTTTCTTTGGACATAAATGTCGTCGTTTTGGTATTTAATTTTCACTCCCTGAGACAAATCGCTCAGCCTTCTGTAGAGTTCTTTTTTGTACTTGGGAGAAAATTGAAGAGCTTCCACCCCTGGAAGTTGAAGTAAGCACGACCCGTCACCCGCGAACGTAGCACTGTCAGGCTCATAAAAAATATCACAGAGGGGTGTGTTGGAAAAGATCTGCTTGGTCAGAACTAGTTGATGGGGGACATCGTACATGACCTCCGCGTCCATGATCATCGTGACATCCCTAGCGGACGTGTTCGAATCTTCGGATTCGGAAACAAATTCTCGGCTGATCTCTCGACCTTCATTTGTTAACGTTAAACAAGACGTGTCCATTTCCTCGTCGAGATCACAATATGAAGAACTAAAGAAGGAATCAACACTTAAATCTCCGCTTTGATAAGATTGGAAATCTATTTCTGAAATAGCTTGGTCGCCTTCAGGGTTATCCGGAATATGCTCTTCGGTGATTTCTTCAGTGTGGTCAAAATCTTCGAAGAAATTTCTTTTAAATTTGTAAATCCTGTAAGCTAATTTACTTCCCTGTTCTTTTTGTTCTAATTTTTCTATTTCTTTTTTACATTTATTCAACGCGCACCGGAAATTTTGTTTCCATATTTTCGGATCTGTCTGCTTGTAGTTTCTATGTGTAGCCCAGGCTTGAAGGAAAATGGCGTCGTCGCTCTCTGGTTTCAGCCCGCCACTTTTTTGGTTCTGCCACGGGATTTTAAAAGTCAGTTGGTCAGGATCTAGCATCTCTAGGCCTGGACATTGACCACTGGTCAACATTTTAGCTAGCCATCTTGGCAATGTTAATTTGCTGTCGTCTGCCATACTTCTGCAACAAATAAAACACCCGACATCAGCCCTTGAGCGAAACATGGGGTGGAAATTAATTAATTAACTTCCCTTTAAACCGAGAATTAATAGTTCTAATTGAACCATAATTTCCCGTTAAAATGCGAATTATAGTAGAAATTTGTGGATCAATTTCCCATTTTACCATGAATTAATTAAATCAATTAATTACTTCTTTTAATTTAAAAACTAAAATATGAAAATACCTAATAAATTGTAAGTCCAACAATAAACGAAACACTATCAACATTAGCTAGCTCGGCGTATTGATGCCATACATGACGAGTAGTGACTCCTTCTTTCTGGGTGTAGATTTGTTTCGCCATGTGGCGTACCATCAAAGTTCCAAATACATGGTATAGAGAACATAACAATTAATTTCTATGTGTTTTCAAAGTCCTTGCAGAACGAAATAGAGTACGACCGTCTTTCGCAAAATGATGTGAGCGATTGTAACCAACGTGTTGGAGATTGATATAACTATAATTATACCAACTCCGCCTCTAAATTTCAAAGTATAAATTTATAAGTTAAGGATAAATTTTAGTACAAGTATATGAGTTTATGTACGTGTATGCTATTCATCTATCAGCATGTGAGTCTGTGTGTGCGTGTGAGGGTTTAAGTAACAGTATGTGAGTTTGTGTGTCTGAGTGTAAGTATAAGTACGTGAGTTTGTGTGAGTTTTTAAGTATATGTGTGGGAGTTTGTGAGTGTAAGTACCAGTATGTGAGCCTGTGCCCGGGGACAAAATTTCAATTTGGCGCCCCCCCCCCCCTCCGGAGCAAATTTTCAATTTGCACCCCCCCCCTCAAACTTTTGATTTGCATCCCCTCCCCCCTCCCTCAAACTTTTGATTTGCACCCCACCCTCCCACTCAAACTACTTATAATGAAAAATGCAGCTAAAATGATACTTTAATTTTTTTTTTACAACCCATTTTGGCGCCCCCTAAGGTCGGCGCCCGGGGACATATGTACCCCCTGCCCCCCCCCCCCATCGCTACGCCTCTGCAGCCTGTGTGTGTGTGTGTGTTTCAGTATCCGTGTGGGAGTTTGTGTGTGTGTGTGACAATGGACGTCTGGGGGTGTAACGTGTTACGACCTAAATCGTTACGTCTGAGCGAGGTAAACTAAAGGTTCACCATCAAATCAATGTCCTCTCTATTCATGAAATCAGCTTGTTGGAGGTCAAGGAGTGAAAACTTTTTTTCTCATATAGCCGTTGCTGGTCACTCAGTTATTTTATTAATTAAAATTATTTTGACTTTCATTCTAAATAATTTTTATTAATTAAATAATTGAGCGACCAGCAACGGGGACAGTTGGAGAGACTAGCCCAGGACAGAGACACCTGGAAAGCTCTTGTCAGCGGCCTATGTCCAGTGTTTCAGTGTTTCTTCCAGACTTTTTTCTCCGGCGGGGCACTTGAAATTTTCGGGTGGGGGGGGGGGGGAGGGGCGGTAGACTTTCTTCGGGGGGGGGGGGGGGGCGGACACTGTTAAAAGTATAAATTTTCTATATAAATTATATAAATTTCCTTTCGTTCGGGGGGGGGGGCGGTAGACTTTTTTCGGGGGGCTAAGCCCCCCCCTCCCCCCCCCCCCGAAGGGATGCCTGGAAGAAACTCTGCCTATGTCCCAGGAGTGGCGACAGACAAACCTAACCTAACTTCACCTAAGTTAGACTACCATTAAACTTGTAAGAACAAATGCATGTGATTCCTTAATAACTTTGTCGAATTCTAACCTATTTATTTTTCTTTGTGGGTGTGTGGATGGGGTGGGGCGGTATGATAGATAAATAACATGGTGCGAACCAAACAGGTGAAAACAAAATACAGTGACGTCACTAGATTTGGTGATGCCCGTTTTGTCGCCCCTCCCCTCCCAAAACAATACACATAATGTAGTTAAATGACATGATGTTTAGAGTTTCGCAATTTAGATAAATAATTGTGCTGTTAGGGATTGTGCACATATTATAACACGACATTGAGCTGGGTGGTTTATACTTTTGTTATATTGAGTTATATGAGATAACAGGTGGGATATAATTTGATTTTTATTGTTCTCGTCTTTTGTACAATTTCTGTAAATTTCACTTGTTGAATTGAGTAAGCTAATACTATAGGCTTGAACCTTTTTTTTTTTTACATTTAGCAAAATTCAAGATTTATCAACTGTTTCTAACAAGAACATTTTGCTTCTAATATAATCAAATTCTCATATGATTCTATACATGTTAAGAACATCACAAAATTAATGTGGTACTGTGATGTGGCTTTTCAGATCGCTAAGGACTGGTTTCTTAATTTGTTTTATTATTTCATGGTGTAGGTGGGTGATTCAAAATACGTTATATAAATTATATAGCCTTTAATTATAATATAATACGTACAAGCAGTGTCGGGTGCCACCCGGTGCGGTGGGTTCGGGTGTCACCGCTCCCCGCCACTAAATTATATATATATATATATATATATATATATATATATATATATATATATATATATATATATATATATATATATGTTTTAATGAACACGCATATTTTTATACGCTTCATGACATTTTCTGCTTTTATCAGCCTGTTACGCCTACTCAAATAAGCTTTGTTATCACTGCGAATTGAACTTTTGTCTCATGGTGTCACCCTCTCCCCACTCCCACCCTCTGACACACACCTCTTTCAAATCTCTTTTTAATGATACATTTTCTGTAGCAATTTATTAATGTAAATAGCCAACAATTATTTTCTTTGAAAACACTGCATTTTTTTCGTCTTGGTGTCACCCCCTTAAATGGTGTCATCCGGTACTTCCGACCACTCCATCACCCCCCACCCCCATTTTGCGCTGCCCCTGGGCACAAGTGTTGGTGAACTCGTTATGTTTATGTTTTTAGCAAGATTTAAGCTTAGTTTCTGTATCCACCATTTCATTTTATCAGCAATTTAGACTACACTACAGTGCGAGGGCTGAACGTAGACTAGACCTATGCCTATCACTTGCCTATCGCTTATCACTTGCCTATCAGCTATCACGAAATAAATCGACCATACGTGTACACGCTAAAAGAGCAGAATTTATAAACTTAATTCGTTATAAATAAACATATATAGTTATGTAAATTATAAAGGTCATAAATTACCTTAGCAACCAACTCTATTCGAAATAAACAATCTCTGTGTTAACCAAGAGAATTCTCGTTTCTTGGTATTTCGGGAATTCCGTTTAACATGGGAGTTCACGCTAATTACGTCAGCGGCTAAATTTAGTGCTTTATAAAAATAATGGGAAAAAATGTGTGATCGGGAATTTCCTTTTAGCTTCACATTTAAACGGTCTAGATAAAATTGCTATATAAGTCTTAAAAGAAAGGCAGCTCCCCACCCCCTTTTTTTTAAATTAATTCATTTATAAATCAATTTTAACTTTCAGTTCTCCGATATAATACGTGATCTAAATTTTTTATGGTTGTGTTAAATTTAGTCTTCTTTTTCCTATTGCCTAGATTTACTATCTGAAGAATTCATTCCAGATCTTTCTGCTCATAACAAACGTAGTATGTGTTTGCAATATAAATATGTTTATAGACGTGTTACATACAGGCCGAGTATGCATTATTTGCCACGCAGTGATTTCTTTTTCATAAATAATTTAAGATTAAAAACATATGGTTTTAAATTCCTCATTTTATTTGATAAAAATAAACATATGCTAACGTGCACCAACATATTAAAAAAAATATATAAACACAATTTAATATTTGTTTTATGTGATTTTTAAAAAAAATTTACATTACATGATTTTTAACACACACTGTGAAACTCCGTTTACCAAGAACTACACATATAATCAAAAACACCAACACCAATTTAATTATCAATACCAACACCTATGTTTAGTGGATAAAACCAACACCAAAATAAAAACACCAACACCGACTTAAACAAAAAGAACACCAACACCGATTTAAACAAAAAATAACCACCGACACCTATTTAAAAAAAAAACAAAAAAAAACACCTAAACAAAAACACTGAAGCCTATTTAAACAAAAAAAACACTGACACCTATTTAATCAAAAAACACAGATACAAAAAAAAAACAACAACACTTAAACATAAACACCGACACCTATTTAAGTATCAACACGAACACCTACGTAAGTGATACAACAAACACCTGTGTAAGTAAAACCACCATCTCCTTCCCAAACATCGCTAACACAAGTAGCTAGATCTACTTGTTCAAACACTTCTCTCGATCTTTGGCTGCCTTGATCTCTTTATCAAGTGAATCCATGGTAGAAAAAAAGCTGCTGAAGTCGAAGACATCGCCTCTCCTCTCCGAACAATCGTTGAGATCATGCGAGGCATACAGATGGCGAATCTTAAAATGTATCGGGACTCTCCGCATGGGGCTGGTATCATGCGCCAGATACTTGCCAGCTACGATAACAAGGGTGTAATCTTTGGGCGCGGGGGAGTCGGGGTGCTGCATGTGATGGACTAGAGAATTGAGGAACTCTTTGTAGTCGAAGATGAGATCGAATTCCTCCGCGCCTGTCTTCCGTTTAAGTGATTCGGTCTTAGAGACGTCATCAGAAAAAGAAACAGGCGGGCTACAGCGACGCTGGACGTAGATGTTATGATTGTGGTATTTGATGGAGACGCCTGTGGTAAAATTGTCCAAAACTTTTTCGATTTTACTTTTGAATTTTTTTAGATATGTCTGGCACAGACTTTAAGTCTGGCAGTTCAAATTGGATTTCTTGTCGGTCGCCTTGGATTTTTCTTTGCAGGGTTTGGTCGTGTACAGTTTGCGCGAAAAGATGGCATTGAGGGACATCCGCCTTCAAGGTGAATGTCTTGACGTTTTTGTTCGGGCTGTCGTAGAGAACATCAATAATCAATAGGGGCTCTGGAGTGGCCTCCGTTTGATGCATCCGTTTGTCGAATAAGGTTTGTATTCGTTGTTCGATTGATTGAGATGTTAAAAGAGTTTCAAGATCCGCAGGCTTGTCTAGAGGGGTATAGGTGTGTGGCAAGAGTTCATCATGAGCCACAAGCCCATTCATATTTTCAAAATTTTGTGGCCAGGTTTGGTCAACTTCCCCATGGCCATTTATCGGATGGTCAGAGGTTTGTGGCCAGGATGGCGCCACGCCCCCATGTCCATTTATCACATGGTCAGAAGTTTGGGGCCAGGATGGCGCCACGCCCCCATGGCCATTTATCGGATGGTCAGAAGTTTGTGGCCAGGATGGTGCCACGACGCCATGGCCATTTATCGGATGGTCAGAAGTTTGTGGCCAGGATGGTGCCACGTCCCCATGTCCATTTATCAGATGGTCAGAAGTTTGTGGCCATGATGGTGCCACGTCCATCCCCTCCTGAAATTCCTGGCTCCGTTCCCACGATTGACTGTCTTCACTCACCATCTCATAATCTTGACCCGAATTCGAATCGCCCAATTCATCGATAGATGAAGAATGATCATAACTAGCAGATTGCCTCTTAAATTTACAAACCATATGAGGAGTCGGGCCAGTTAATTCATCTAAATCTTTCAGCCGTTCAATGTAATTACTTTTTCTGAGTGCGTTTCGTAAACGCGCTTTCCATGTCTTGTAATCTTTCCCAGCGACTTCATTAGGTTGGAAGTATAGAGTGTACTCATGCAGAGTTCTAGAATATTCGTCATCTTCCTCCACTCGGCTCTCTTCTGGTCCATCCAGGGTATATGGAACAACCCCGTCCTCAAACTGCTCAAAATTTGGAAAATTAGGGTCAGCGATCATCTGCCTACACCACGTGACCAGTTTCCCACCAGCTTCCATGATCTCTGCGAATGAGGAGAACACATTGTTTAGAAATAATTGGCTCCTGCCGAGGCGTAGCGATGGGGGGGGGGGGGCAGAGGGGTACATATGTCCCCGGGCGCCGACCTTAGGGGGCGCCAAAATGGGTTGTAAAAACAAATTAAAATGTCATTTTAGCTGCAGTTTTTGCATTATAAACAGTTTGAGGGGGGTGGGGTGGGGGGGGGGGGGGGTGCAAATCAAAAGTTTGTCCCCAGGCGCCGGGATTGGTCGCTACGCCTCTGGGCTCCTGTGTGTCCTCGACAGACACATTACAACATCTGAATCATGTCACATATTGATGAGTCAATGATGTCATAAAATATGGGGGGTGATAAAGCTATTACAAAGGGGTGTAATCGTCCGATGAAAAAGGGGATACAATAATGGTAGGATTATATGGTTTATATATATTGCAAAGGGAAGTTATACAATGAAATTATTATAATACACAAGATTGTTATTGGGGATTTATCTCTTTTGTAAGGAAATATTATGCTGATACAATGGTATATTTTGGATTGAGTATCAAGCATACCTAAACTTATATGATGGTATACTGTTGGAGAGGATTCAACAGAGTGTTTTATCGGAACATATACAGGTAAGCTACTTCCATATTGCCTGATCGTAGTACACTTATTGCAAGATCACTAGCAAACAGTAATTGGGAGGGGTGTTGTACTTTTGTAACAATAGGTGTCGAGGAGGATAGGGGCCAGAAAGCTTTACACGCATTGATGCTTCGTATCAAATTAGTGCATTTATTCGTCATTGTCGGTGATGTTTGTCAATTGTAAAAAAAAAAGTTTGATCATCATACTTAGGCATGTCCCCAGGTCCGGTAATATTTAAGAAAAATATTGCTGTTTAATTTTGTTTTAAAATGATATTCGGGGGGGGGGGGGAGGAGATTGGCTGAAGAGTGACGTCATTTTAGGAGTTGTCTGACATTTTGTGACGATGGTGAAAAAGAGGGGGGAGAGGGGTTAGTAAAAATCGACACATAAGCGCATGGCATAAAATAGACTTACCACTAAGACACTTCCTGACACTAAAGTTATCACTATACGTACTTTTTTTTAGCCCGCAGAAATAGAAATGTTGAGTAAAAAATCTACTTACTGCAGTTGAGCGTC